CTGGAAGTCTGTCCTTGTGTCTTGCTTAAGTGTTTTCTCATTTTTATTTTTGTTGTTGAACTGTCCTTGGTTTAATCTCTGGATTATCACCCACATCTTCCTGATATTGTTGAGCCCTAGCTTCTGTGTCTCTAATAACCCACAGACATTCTCATCTTCATAACATCAGAGAAAACAGCTCATCAAATCAACCGCAATGCTTTATCCCAACTGATACAATCAGCAACACAATAAGATCAAGCACAACTTTGACACTGACCACCGGTGCTAGTCACTAGTCTATCACCCTTAAATCATTTGAATTAAATTGAAATCAAGAAGCAGTCCAGAACATGTCTGCAGTGAACAAAATTTCACTATAGTGTATTTACCATTTAATGGCTCAGACAGAGCAAGGATGTAAGACCCCTGATCTCAGTTAGCTGATGGCTGAACCCCATGACGCTGACTGACCTCAGGCTGCAAGGCCCAGATTGAGTTCCCCAACGTTCTGAATGGTTGAACTCCACAACGTTCTATTACAGGTTTCCTACGCCCTTTCTTTAAGGATGTTCAAAGTTGGGAATTCAGAAAAATACCCTTGATGACCACCTCTGCCTCTGCATAGTGGGTCCAAAGACAGTCAGGAAGTCTGAGAGTGCGGGGGGGGGGCCTTATGGGGGTTCAGGATTGCCCGCGGGGCTATCTTCCTAGCACTGGAGTGATGGCGGCTGGGTCGGAAGCAGGCATGTCTCTCCTTCCCGCGGTGGATCGGGGCCCAGTCTGCCTCCCGGGGCTTCTCATTGTTGATTTTTTGTCTAGATGATCTGTCTATTTGTGTCAGTGGAGTATTGAGGTCCCCCACTACAATTGTATTAGTGCTTATTTCATTTTTCATATCTGTTAATATTTGTTTTGTATAGTTGGAGGCATTAGTATTCAGTGAATATATATTTATGATTGTCATTTCTTCCTCTTGTATTGTTCCCTTTACAAGGATGTAGTGGCTTTGTCTCTCTTAATTAGTTTTGGTTTGAAATCTATTGTGTGCAAATAAGATAGCTACCCCTGCCTTTTCCGGGCTCCTGTTGCATGGAGAACTGTTTTCCATCCTTTTACTCTCAGTCTATGAATTTCTTTGTGGATTAAGTGGCTTTCTTTTTTTTTTTGAGACAGGGTCTCACTATGTAGCACAGGCTGGTCTAGAACTCACAGCGATCCTCCTGCCTCAGCCTCCTGAGTGCTGGGATTATAGGCATGCGCCACCACACCCGGCTTAAGTGGGTTTCTTATATGCAACATATTGTTGGATTTTGCTTCTTAATCCTTTCTGCCAGCCTGTTTCTTTTGATTGGTGAATTGAGGCCATTAACATTGATGATTATAACTGTTATATATTGACTTTTCATTGTCATGTTATTTTCCTGTTGTTTGTTCTTTTGTTTTTTATTTTTCCCTTTCTGCCTTTAATTTCTTGCCTTGCCTGGTATATTTGATCTGTTGACCCTTATGGAGTTGAGGTCTTCATTTTCCTTTTCCAGGATTTTGTTTACAAGTGTTTGGAGTGCCAGTTTGGTGTTCATGAAATTTCTCAGGTGTTCTTTGTCGTGGAAGTACCTTATTTCCCCATTAATTTTGAAAGACAGTTTTGCAGGATACATCAGTCTAGGTTGGAGGTTGTTTTCTGAAATACCTCCCTCCAGGCTGTCCTTGACTTGAGGGTTTGTGTTGAAAAGTCTGCTGTGATTCTGATGGGCTTTCCTTTGCATGTGATTTGTTTCTTTTCTCTAACTGCTTGTAGTATTTTGTTCTTCTTTTGGGTTTCTGGGATCTTGATTATTATATGTCTAGGTGTAGATTTTTTTTGTTTTGTTTTGTTTTTTATCATGGCTAGTTGGAGTCCTAGGGCCCAGGAGTTCTTAAAAGTAACTTTGACTCCTTAATGATGTGAGTCTTGGGGGGGAAGAACACTCCCTCTGCACTTTTATAGGACATTGCAGAGCCCCTGGAGCCTGTGGCAGAGGAGAGGCAGAGGAGATGAGCAGATGATGCTTGCTGGGAAGGAGAAGACCATGCAGTGACTCTTATTTTTCCTTTTCCAGTTTTCCCAGAAGAGGGGAGTCAGAAGCCTCTCTTCCCTGGACCCAGAGGTTCTATCTGTTTTTGTGCCTCCTTTTATCAGTAAAGAGGACAGCCAGTGGGCCAGTGGGAACTATGCAACTCTAGGGAAAGGTAGGAGGCGCTCCTTCAGGAAGAAGAGAGAGAAGCCCAAGACAGAGCCCTGGAAAGGCCCCCCAGTGGATTCCAAACGGCATGATTCTGAAGACATTAGCATCCCAGGCGGTGTGGATCTCCTTGCCCTGCCCCAGCTGTGCTTCCCAGGTATGGTATATGTGGGGGCCAACCTGAGTGCCTCATGTCAGGTTGTCATACAAGTGGTTCACGTCCAGAGGTCTGCATATTGAGGACGGCAGGGTGAGCAGTGGAGCAGGCCCCATCATCCATTGTTGGATAATGGGACTTTGTGTTCTCTCAGGGGAAGTTGAAAGCATTTAATACACTCTCAGGGCTTGGAAAGCTGAATCCAGGAAGAAAGGCTGTATGGATTGCCAGGTGGTATGGTATGCTGCAGGGTTTTTTGAGGCATTGCCACTTTGACTTCACAGGAAGTTGGTTTGGCCTCTGGAATGTCCCTGAGCCTCTTCTGTCCCCATTACTCTCTGTTACTGAAAAAAAGGCTCAGTTTACATTTAGTCTTCAAGTTTACAGTTCCAGTAAATGGTGAACTTGTGTTTCTGGGCTTCATCTTTTCCCTGGTTTTAAGAAGAGTTAAGATGGATGATGTAGGATAGTTAGGTCCTATCTGTGTCCCCATCAAGAGCCTGATGGCCTTCCTAGTCACTGGGTTGTTGCCTGGGACAGGTGTGGGGCAGGGTTCTGTGCACAGAAGCATCACCATGCCAGCAGGCAGGCCCCGAAAGTGTGTCTTAGCTCTGAATGTTGGTATTGATGCCACCACATCATTCACCCAACTCTTCAGACCGAAGGGGTTGTAAAGAAGCTGTTTCTGGGGGAGGAACAGGGAAGGAAGGTGGGCAGAGCAAGCTGCAGAGTGGACACATCTTGGGCATCGAAATGCCCCATGGAAAAGCAGTGATGGGCATGCCCTGTACCACAGGGGAAGATTGTCAATTGAGAATGTCCTTTCTTTTCACTCTGTCTACAGGAGGAATGCACGTGGCCTCAGAACCAAAGGAAGACCATGTCCATTTTCTGGTGCTGACTGATGTGTGTGGGAATAGGACCTATGGCGTGGTGGCCCAGTACTACCGACCCCTGCATGTAGGTAGCCCCCTTTGGGTGGGCATTGATTTTTAAAACAACTGTGGTGGCATACATATATGATTCACCTTTTTCACCATTTCACAGTGTTTGGTTCAGCAACGTAGATTGTAGGCACAGTGCCATGCAACTATCACCCCTGTCCAATTCCAAAGCATTTTCATCCCCCAAGCCCTGCACTCAAGTCCTTTCTGCCCAATTCCCCCAGACCAGTAACCACTAATCTGCTTTCCTTCACTCTGGATTTCTCTAAAGTGCAGATTTTGTGTAAACAAAATCATACACTATGGGGCCTTCTGTGTCTGTATTCTTTCACTTAGTGTGATGGTTTCAAGGCTCATTCACATTATGGTGTGCTCCCCTCCTTCCCTAGTTTACTCCCTTCTTTTTTTAATCGTCCTTCTTTTTACTGGGAATTGAATCTGGGGGTGCTCTAACACTGAGCTATGCCCCCAAGCCTGTTTTAAATTTTAGATTGAGGCAGTGTCTTGCAAAATTGCCCAGAATGGCCTCAAACTCAAAATCCTTCTTCCAAGATAGCTGGAATTATGGGTATGCAGCCTGTGCCCAGCTTCTTTATTCCTTTTGTGTGGATGGAACATATTTTATTTATCTATTTATCCATTGATGGGCACATGTTCCCATCTTTCAATTGCTGTGCAAGGTGCATGGGGATACATATTACTAGGAATTGAACCCAGGGCTTTTGTACATCCCCTGCCATTTTTATTTTTTATTTGGACACATGATCTCATTAAGGCATGAAGATGTCCAGCCTGGGTTAAAATTTGCAAACCTCCTTGCTCAAAGGGTTTAGAATTTTTGAGCACATCTCACTTATCCTGTGTTGGGGTACTGTCTAGGCAAGGCTGTGAGGTGAGATCAGCTGCCTCTAAGGAGCTGTTAGGGAACCCTGCTCCCCCTTTGTCCTCAGAGGCTGGGGAAGGAATCATTCTTCCATCATGACTTCAAGTGTCTAGAGGTAAAAGATACATAATCAGATGGACTCTGTCCTGTATGCTGTGGGGTACAAAGGGTAAATCCCAGGTACATGCAGATGCTGCCTTGCTGTGTAGCTGCTACTATTATCTTTGTATACCACTGTGTTTTGGATGTGTGTCCCTTTTCAATCTCAGGTCACCGGCATCTGTGCATTTTTATGACCTCAGTACCCTGCAGAGGCAGATATCACGTGGGCCCTGTCCATGGCAGCTGGGAGGTAGTGCTGGCTGGGACATGGGCAGCATGTTGTGGGGGGCCTTTCCCACCCCTGTGTTGTCTCTTTTCTGATGTGCGACTATTGGATGCCAGGACTGCTGGTGTGGGTGACAGTGTCCCTGTTTCTCTTTCTCTAGGATGATTGCTGTTTCTACAATGGCACTGCACACTGGGAGCCATCGTGGCCGAGTATAGTTGGTGTGGCTGGCTGCTTTGTGCCCTTTGCAGTGTGTGTGATCTCCAGGTTCCCCTACTACAACTCCCTCAAGGACTGCCTCTCTTGGTGAGACCAGGGGCCATTTGATGCCAAATGTGGGGGCAGTGGCAGGGTGGACAGCCAGAGGTCTTTGAAAACTCAGATCTGGTAATGGTGATGTAGGGATGTGGTGCGCCAGAGGTAGGAGGTAAGTGCCATGCTGCTGGAAATGAAACTAATAGGAAGGAGTTTGTTTTTGTTGGTTTTAGAGAACAGACACCTATCAGGAAAACTCTTCCTAGCTCTTAGGAGGCTATAATTTATTCTAATAAGGCAGTGTGTGTGTGTGTGTGTGAGTGTGTGTGTGTGTGTGTGTTTTAAATTTGGTGTACTGGAGATCAAATCCAGGCCCTTGTACCTGTTAGGCAAGTGCTCTACCACTGCGCCACACCCCCAGTGCTGATAAGTTTCATTGACATTTTAAAAACTTATTGTTTTGGGTATGGTGGTGCAAATCTGTAATCCCAGCTATCCAGGAGGCTGAAGCTGGAGTATTGCAAATTGAGCTGAACCTGCGTAACCTGAGACAGCAAGCTTCTGTCTCAAAACAAAAATTTAAAAAGGCTGGGGATGTATCTTTGTGGTAAAGTGCTCCTAGGTTCAATTTCCCAGTATCACCACCATTACAGCAACAAAATGACTTAGGTCTTTGGGTAGACTCTGTAATTGTCTTACAGCTACTAACGAGTGGAATGCCTGAGGATGTAAAGAATTTTGAAAAAAATCAGGAAGGCATTTTGTAGAACCTGATGGATCCCACTATCAGAGTATTACTGTGATGGGGGAGGCCCCCAAGTTTAGTGTGGACCAGTTCCCTAACACAGGTGACAGAGGCATTTGCTTTGAAATCTCATAAAGTTATAGTTGTAGAATTTGTACTTGATTAAAGACTGTGAATGGGGCAGTTACAGAATCCCTTAGTGAAGACACTGAAGAGCAGTCCATATACACTGGGGCTTGCAGCTGGTCCTCTGTGGACACTTGCTATAGACCCTACACTTTGTCATAGAATGCACAAAGCCATGCTTTGTAGAGCTGGAACCTTCTGGTTCAAATTAGTAGCATTTATATTTCAAATTCCAGCACTTTCATGGTTTGCTTCTTAAAATATAGTTGGTGTCTTAGTTCTTTTTGCATTTCTGAGACAAAATAACTGGCACCCAAAGTTAAAGGAGGAAAGCTTTGTTGCAGCTCACAGTTTGTAGAGGTTTCAGTTCATAGCTGGCTGGCTCCAAGGCAGGCTGACATGGCAGAGGGGCATTGCAGAGGAGAAACAGTTCATGGTGGGCAGAAGGCAGCAAAGCAGTGAAGTAGTGAGAAAGCAGCAGGCCACAAGTGATGACAGCAGCCCTCTTTGATACCTTATGTTATATCCAGGCTATGCACCCTTAGGGTGGGTAGCACTTACACCCAAGTTGTGCCTTCCCATTATTCATACCCAGAGCTATGCCAAACCAATCAGTGGACTGCTTTAGTAATCACACACCCTTGATCCCAACATCACACATTCCAGATCCAGCCACCTCTGAAAAGCCCTGCCTATGACTGCATGAGGCTTTGGGGGAACATCTTGACATAAGCCATAACAGCTGGTTTGTGGACACTGTGGGTCCATCCTGCATTTAGCAGCCATGGACAGAAACACCTGTAGGACAGAGCCCACTGTTCTGAGAGAGAGAGAGAGAGAGAGAGAGAGAGAGAGAGAGCACTGAGCCCATGCTTGTGCCCACAGTGTCTGTGGCCCCAGGGTGGACTGGCATTATAATTAGGGTGTGGTTCCTTCTGAGTTATTAACTGATGATATCCTCATTCCTTGAGGGTAACAGGTTTCTAACTCATCTCTAGTTTCCTCTTCTATGATGTGAGGTGGTCATGTCTAGCCTTTGCTAAATAAAACAAATGACTGAGGGCCAGATGATGCCTATCCTCAGCAGATGGGCAGAAAGGTGTGTACTCTTCTGGCTGGGCTGATTTTGTTTCCTCCCGTGGGGTGTTAGTGCAAATGGATATGACAGGAAAGAGTGGAGCTTTCACTTCCATGCTTCTGAGTTCTTTTCTTTTAGTGGTCATTGCTGCAATATTAGAACTGGAAATAGAGACAGGGAGGAACAAAGGACAGAAAGGCAAGATGCCTCATGTCAATAGGCATTATATTTTTAAACCATCTGTTCATCAACTGCAGTGATACTATGCACAATTCACCTTATGGACACTAATTGGATATTCATTTTTTTATTTTGGGGGAAGTAGATTATGGGCAGTTTTCTTAAATTTTGCCTTGATGCTATTATAATTTTATAATAAATGCAAATATGGAGGATTATTTAATTATCTTCAAATCCTGACAGTGGCCGCATGAATAAGTACTATTTTTTTTTTTGTACCAGGGATTGAACTCGGGTCCTTGCGCTTGCAAGGCAGGCCACCGAACCACTGAGCTAAATCCCCAGCCCAATAAGTACTATTTTTTACTTAAAGTAACAGTGCTTTGAATTGCTGGGATACCATGGTCTTGCATCTTGGTGGGGGCTTAACAGGTGGTAGTTCCTTCCTGGGTGGCTGTATGGTCAAGTGTGATTGGATGCACTCTCAGCATTATGGCTACCCCTGGACGTGCACTCCATTGTGGCTTCCATGCCCTCGTGTTGCTTCATGTTGAGTATATTTTCCTTTCCCGACAAACTCCTTTCCTTATGGCCAAGTAGTCACTGACTCCAGGGTTAGCCCAAGGCATAGCACTATGTAAACCTCCAAAATAATTGGTCAAGGGCCGGGGATTTAGCTCAGTGGTGCTGTGCCTGTCTGGCAAGCATAATGTCCTGAGTTTGATCCTCAGTACTGTAAAAAAAAAAAATTGGTCAAATGAGTAAATGTAGCAAATGGGTAATAAATGAATTTGTTCACACATACCTTAAAGTGTCCATTCTTGGGCTTCTAAGAAAGGGCATGTCCTTAGCATCTGTCCATTTTGTGTGTGTCTTTTCACTTGTATGCTACCTTCCAGGTCTGCAGTTCTACAACTATGGAGTCCACACCACATATCCAATTGTTCCTGTACTGAGCATATGCAAAGTTTTTTTCCTGTCATTTTCCTTAAATAATTCAGTATAACAACTATTTTTATGATTCAGTTATTATAAGTAATCTAGAGATGACTTAAAGTATACAGGAAGAGGTATGTGGATTTTATGCACCATTTTATATAAAGGACTGAGCATCTGCCAGGGCTCTGGACCCAGTCCCCTGCAGATTCAAAGGGACAGTTATACTTTTATACACATATTTCTAAAAAGCAGCTTTATTGTGGACTAATAGATATGCTACACTAACACCCACCCATTTAAGCATATGGGAGGGTATATTTTGACACGTGTACATACCTGTGTAACCAGCAGAATTGTGAGAAGGGATATTTCAGGTGCCAAGTTCCCTGGCACCCTTACAGTCAGTTCCCAGTCCTTCTGTCCTAGGCACCCACTTGTACATTGTATCTTTAAATCATATACTTAAAAAGTCAGCATGCATTTGCCAACAGAGTTTCTCAAGTTCTTCCCTTTGAGGTGGTGTTGGCTTTTTCTTCCTTACTGACTTCAGTATAACACACATAGAGAACAGTGCTCACAATCCAGAGATTTTTCACGAACCGACACACGCAGGTAACCAGCACCAGGATGGGAAACAGACCAAGGCCATTTCCCCCACCCCGAAAACCTCCCCCTTTGTGGGCCCCTTTCAGGCATCCTCACCATGGGGATCCACTGTCTGATAACCTCGAAAGAGTCCTGGAATTGATCCTATAGACCCTTCAGGAGATGTAAGCTTGGTCGGAAAGACTAAGGATTACAACTGGATTCTCATTTGTAATTTGTGACTTGACTTTTTTTTTTTCCCCCCAATTACAGTTTACTGACTCATCTGAAGCTCTGTAAGGACTTTGAAGTAGACAATCATATAAAAGATTTTGCTGCGAGACTATCATTAATACCTAGCCCCCCACCTGGACCACTCCATTTGGTAAATTAAATCTGGAATTATGTTACGGGTTTTTCTTTACAAGTAGTAAAAGTAATGTGCTGATTATTAAGTTCTAGCTGTGTTTAAATTATGTTCTTCCTTTCTAAAGGTGAAAAGTTATATATTTAGGATTGAGTTTTGCTGAGTGGCCCATGAAGAACTGAGCTAATAGAATGTTATGGGATACTTGCGTGTTAATATGCAAGTTTGTTTCTTGCTATGCAGAAAATACATAGAAACCCAAGTCCTTCAGTCTAAGTAAATCCTCCTAATTTACTTTAAATTAGAAATTCTCCTTTTGTTTGTTTGTCTTGAATATTATATTTAACTTTTTAATGTTTTCTCTTGTACAGTGAAATTAATGAGAAGTAACTGGTTTTGTATGTTTTGTTATTCTTAGAAATGCCACTGGGTTTAATCAATAGACAAGTACTTCCCAAGCAGGGTTCTATTCCGAAAAATGTTATGCCTATTTCATGACATGTGTTTCAGGGTGAAGCCCGGTTGGGGAAGTTGGGCCCAAATTCCCCTTGGGTTGAGTAATGTGTCAAACTGCTGATCTGGGTGAGGAAACCTGTCCTATGTGACTTAGTATTTTCTAAACTCATTAGCCCTACACAGGATGCTTTTTTATTCCCTTTTGAGATATTATACACATAAATCTTGGACCTCTACATTTTTTTATTCTTGACTATAAAAAAGAAGTTCTGCTTGTCAGGAGACTTGTGATCCTAAACTGAAAACATGTATTATTATTATTATTATTATTTTTTTTTTTTGGTATGGGGGGATCAAACTCAGGACCTTGCCCTGGTGAGGCAGGTGGCAGCACCACTGAGCTAAATCCCTGGCCCAACATGTATTTTAAATGTTATTTCCAATCCAGCAGTCTGCTAGGTGGAGGATCCTGCTGGTGCATTCCAGTCCAGACAGAGAGCAAGTAATTTCCAATCCACTCCCAGGGACCTTTGTTGGTAGTGACTTTATTTTGTGGATATAGGTGGAAGATTTCTTTTCTGAAGTTTTTAGGTAAAGGAAATTATTTAAGATTTTGGATTTTTTTTTCCAGAGTTTGGAATGTTTAGACATACAAGATACCTTGGTGATGAGACCTAAATCTAAACACAGAATTTATTTATGTTTCATATGCACCTTGTGCACATTGTCTCAAAGTCATTTTTATTAAGTATATTTAGTGCTCATACTTTGTTTTTTGTAGTTGCGGGGATTGAACCCAGGGCCTTCTCATTGAGTTGTATCCCTAGTATCTCTCTGCCTCCTACTTTTTCCCACTTTTAATTTTAAGACAGGCTCTTACTAGGTCACTAAGTTGCCCAGACTGTGTTTGAACTTGTGATCCTCCTGCCTCAGCTTCCCAGAGTGTTGAATTACAGGCCTGCCCTGCCACACCCAGCTACTCTTGTTTTTTGACTGTGACTCATGCTGTGAGGTTAGGTGAGGAATTTTCCCCTGTGACATCATGCCAATGCTCAAAAATGTTTGGATGTGGAGCACTTTTGGAGTTGGGTTTCAGTTTAGGGAGGCTCAGCCTGCCCTTGCTGTTTTCTTGTTGACAGCGACCCTAATGAAGTCTTCCAAGTTTGTGCTTTCATCCTGCAGCCTAGCACTGCTCCAGAGCTTGCACTAGATAGAGCAGGGTGCAGCTATACCTTTGAGGTATTCACAGCAGTGTTTTGAACCTAGACTCCCCGGGCTTCTAGTGCCTGTTCCTCACTCCCAGTGTCCTGGGAACAAGTTCATGGAGTGTAATTTTGACCTTCCTTCACCTGCATGTTCACTTGTCTCTCAGGCCTTGCCTACCTACCTGTACCCCTTTCTTTAACCATGTTCCTGCTGTCTCCCTGTTCTGGGCCACCAGCTTCTCCCACATGTGTGACTTGGGAACCACTTGTCTGCCCACTTCTGCTCTTTCTTAGCCTTTCCCTTCAGCCTCTGCTCTGTGGCTGCAAAGACCACTACAACCTGTAATTTGGGCTCCATTATTCTGCCTAAACCCCACAATGGTTCCTCACTGCACTTCTCAGCTCAGCCCTACGCTGTGCACCCAGTCTTAATGTCCATCTTTGCCCTATACCTCTCACCCTTGCTTGCTGAGCTCTAGCTTCACCAGGCTTCCCTCAGTCCCCTGGAGGTGATGCCACAGGACTCTTGCTTATTGAAGTTCTGGAAGTAATTCCTCCATGTCCTTTGCCCAGCACCTGCTCCTCATCCAGCTGGTGCACAGTTTTCAGCCCTTCACAGTTAGCCTTTGGGCACTCTCCTTGTCCCTCTTGTGGTTCCCAGCCTTTCCTGCAGGTCACTACACTGTAGTGAGTCAGCTCTGTCTGTGTTTGTGTTTAATGTCCATCTCCGCCACTAGACGCTGAGCAGCATGTGGAAGAAGCCACAGCAGCACTGCCTGTCTGCCTCTGGCTCTGATATGGCCCTCATGCCTGTGCCCGATGGCCTCATTCAAGCGCTGTGACTTCCTTTAACCAGTCTCTCTGGCTACTGGGGCTAAAGGAGCACATTGCTCAAGATCCATTTGAGGGAATGTCACATGGTAGTGCTTTTTTTTTTTAAATTGTGGTGCTGGGGATTGAACCCAGGATCCCCATGCATGCTGGCTAAATGTTCTACCACAGAACTACATCCTTAGTCTATTTAAAAGTTGTTTTTTGTTTTTGTTTTGAGAAAGAGCCTTTCTAAGTTGCCCAGGCTAGTCTTGAACTTGTGTCCCTCCTGCCTCTACTTCCTGAGTAGCTGGGATTACAGTGTGCACCACCATATCTAGCATGTTTGTTGTTTTAAAGAAATCCAAGAGGTTGGTTTAGGCAGTGGTTTTCATCTGCACCAGAAGGTGACTCAGCAGCATGTTCTAGACTCCATTGTCAGCTAATGTCTCTCACAGGTGTCAATGGCAGTTGTGAGCAGCAGTGCTTATATTTTGATTGATGTGCCTTGGGTATGATGTGCAGCCATTTCCTGATGTGTCTGGGCCGGATCAGCTCTATTTTCGCCAACTGGAAGATACAGGCGACTCCACATTATGGGGCTAAGAAAGAAGTGAAAGCTGAGCCTTGTTCCCTTGTCCCCTCCCCTCCTGTCCCTGTTTGGCACCACTTATCCCTGACAGTACCTGGACCTCCTGCCCAAGAGAAGCAGATATTAGGGATGACAGAACCCCAGGGCTTCCTTTGCCTGTGATGTTAAATCTTGGGCCTAATTGTGTATGCACAATGAAATGTGCCTCTGTGTGTGTGTGTGTGTGCGTGTGTGTGTGCATGTGTGTGCGTGCACGCATATGTAAGCTTCCCCCTACCCATAGTTTCTGAGTCTTTGTCTGAGTTGCTTTGAATGTGAACATACTCTTGTTTTGGGACTCAAATCAGATGACCTTTGGCAAGAGTTGACCTAGAATCTGTGTCTCCTCAGTTTCTTCATTTGCAAAGAGAGTAAGATAACAGCCCACAGGGAGCGAGGGTGCGTGCTGTACACTACCTGCATGTACCAAGGCATCCCAGGGACAAGTATCAGCAAGAGGAAGAATGATTAGCATTTGCCTTTATGTTTAATTGGGTAACTGGTTGACACACTTATTTTTTGAAATATTGAGAATTTTCATATAAACTTTATAATTTTTTTTTTTTTGGGCACTGGGGATCGAACTCAGGTCCTTGTGCTTGCAAGGGAGGCACCGGAACCACTGAGCTAAATCCCCAGCCCAAAACTTTATAATTATTAATATTACATCACAACCTGGAAAATTAACTCCATTTTATTTTATTTTATTTTACATGCAAAGGCCTTTATTGTTCACATAAATGACTGTACCTTATTTTATTTTCTTACTTTTGAGATGCTGGAGATTGAACCCAGGGCCTTGTGCATGCTAGGCAAGTACTCTGCCATTGAGCTTCACTAGCCCAAGCTGCCTTATTTTTAATGTGTCTTGCTTCTGTAGGAAAATTGGTAACAGGAAAACAAAGAGTCTCCCTATATTGATGAGAAGCACTTACTTGTGTCCTTAGTACCAAGAAATTATGATCTTTTCTTGTTTCTGGTTTTTCTCCCATGAAAATACACTTACCTCAGTGAGGTAGGTGATTGTAGGGAAGTATGAATAGCAAAAGCTTCGTCTTGTTACCCTTTTCCTTGACTCAGTGCCCTACTGTTCTCAATTATGTCCACCTCTCATGCTTTGCCTTGGTGAAGCTATTCTCTCTGTTTCCTTTCTATCTTCTGGATCTTTTCTTATGACTCTAACATTCCATTCTGCTCATTCAGTGGAGTCTGGGGCAGAGAAGATGCCCAAGCCACCCCTGTGTTGACACCCGAGGGGGTGAAAACTTGCTGCCCACAGCTTCATCTCTCAACAAGCTAGGAAGCCCCTCTGTGGAAGCAACTGCATCTTCCTCTTTGATTTCTTTCTTCCCTAACTAGGTCCTTTAGCTTGACATGGGCATTCTGTGGAGAGGGAATTTGTATTGAGGCATTACTTCAAAATTGTGTCATTTAGAAAAGGAAAGGTCTCTCTTACAATTTTTTGAACTATAAGTCTAAGGAATTTGACTGTTAAATGAACAACACTGAGAACACATAATATGTATTGACTAGGAATAAGACGTTATACTGAAGAATAATTTGAACATGCTTGCTGTACAATTTGTGCCGCTTGGGACAAATGTCTGTCTATGTCTTCCAATGAATAATTTGCTGATCAGGGAACTTACCAAAAAAAAAAGTCATTATGTACTTTGTGTGTGAATTTCTGGCCGTTATGAGCCTTGCCAGGCTGTTGTGTAATTCTGTGACACATCACCTGGTGGCACAAGTCTTCCAAAGTGGTCTCTAACTGAGACACTTGCTGTGCCAAAGTAATGAATTTGGGCACATTTCAGCTTGTACTCGGCACAGTTCTCTGAACTAACTACGGCTCTTGGTCATCATAGATGTTTAACATGAAGCCACTGCACGTCGTGTTTCCCTCCCGAGCAGACCCTGAGAGCCCCGTCATTGACCTGGACCTTCACTTGCCTTTGCTGTGCTTCCAGCCTGAGAAGGTGCTGCAGGTACAGCTCATGCTTGGTAACTTCATGGGGCACCCAAAAGCATTGCTTATCAGAGACTGGCATAGAGTGCAGAAATATACGTATGTATTTGCTTAGCATCAACATTCATTACAGGGCACAGTGTTTGCAAATAAAATGTTTTGTGGGATCTTAGGTGGCTTTGGTTTTGGCAGATGGAGCAGGGAGCCCAGACTAAAGGCTGTACTCTGGGTCACTGGATGTTTGACGTTCACTGTATTAGATTGGCAGCTTCTGAATAGTACTGTTGGTCCCCTCAGATCCTATCCTGCCTTCTAACGGAGCAGCGGATTGTGTTCTTCTCCTCGGACTGGGCCCTGCTGACTCTCATCGCTGAGTGCTTCATGGTCTACCTCCACCCCCTACAGTGGCAGCATACCTTCGTGCCCATCCTGTCAGGCAAGATGCTGGATTTTGTTATGGCTCCTACATCTTTTCTCATGGGCTGCCACCTCGACCACTTTGAAGAAGTCAGCAAGGTTAGGTATAGAACACTTGATATGGAGCATTAAATTCCTGTGAATCTGTTATGAGGACGGTGGGAAGTGACTTTTGAAAGTGCTCTGTGCCTAGTGGGCACAAGGCCCTGGTTCCATCCCCAGTATCCAAAACAAAAACAAAAACAAAAAAAAGAAAGTGTTGTGCATGGAGGTAGAGTACACTATGCTGAGGAAGTTTCTCTTCAGTTCTTAAGTGCTTGTGTTCCAGGTGCCATGCTGAGCACAGGTTGTATCCCAGTTCCCCTCCCCTGGGTGACCTTGGGGTGTATTCAAGGCTACAGTGTTGTGAATCCTGGAGCCTATGGGTCTGCAGTGGACCCTAGAAGACTCAGTGAGGAGAGTGTAGGCATTGGAGCCCCCTGGAGCCCGAGTTTCAGTCAGCCTCTTCTGAGTATTTGTTTGTAACCTTGTGCAGTTACTTGCCCTTGCCCAGCCTGATTCCTTGTCTGTGAAATATGAGGAGGACCTGTCCTTCTGAGCAGACCTGGAGCTGAGGAAGATTTTTGTGTCTCACATGGCTTTGGGTGCCTGCCTGGGGTTCGATAGGTGGCAACTCCATTGTGATTGCTATATACTTTCTAGTTTTTTTTTTTTAATTCAGCTTTTGTGGTTTGTTGCTGTTAGACTTTGTTCCTAGAAAAATGCAAGTCCATGCAGCCTGTTCCTTATGTGTTAGAGGGGCTCATGACCTTGCTGCATTTAGTGGCTATTTACTGTCATGTGGCTGACTCACAACAAAACATGGAATCCTTTCTTTTTCTAGTTGTAAAAGGACAGCAAATATGCCAGCCTCCCTCTTAGGTTGAGAATCAAATGAGCAACAGAATAGTACCTGGCATACAGTAAGTGCTTACTAAGTGGTAGTAGATATTACTGTTGATACCGATTGGAGATGGTATACATTTAAATGGCGATCTGTCCTGGATATATAAGTTCTGTGACACACAGGCAACATACAGACTGGACTTGGTTTTAATAAATACTTCTTTTGGCAAGATGTGGTGGCCCATGCCTAAAATCTCAGCTACTCAGCAGCCTGAGCCAGGAGGATTGCAAGTTCAAGGCCAGACTGGTCAACTTAGGGAGACCTTGTTTCAAAATAAAATTTTGAAAAGGGCTGGGATGTAGCTCAGTACAGTAAAATCAAACAAAACCCCCAAACAAACAACCCAAACAGCTTTATTGTGATATGATTTATATGTTACAAAGTTTATCTGATTACTTTGCCTATTTTGGATATTTCCTATAAGTGAACTCATTCAACATGAATCTGGATTTTTTCACTTAGCACACATTTTTTGAGGTTCATCTATGTTATAATATCTATCCCAACTTTATTGCCAAACAGAATTCCACTGTGTGATTCTGCCATACTGTAATATAGTTGACAGATAGCCATCAACTTGGTGACAGCCGATGGCTGTTTGGGTTGTTTTTTCCTTTTGGCTCTTCCAAATAAGGCTGCTGGGAACACTGTTGTACAACTTCTTGTGTGGACTTAGGTTTTCATTTCTCTTGGGTACAAATGAAATGAGCAGAACTGCTGGATCCTGTGGCAACTCTATGTCTGATCATTGGAGGAGCTGCCAGACTGCTCGGCAGTGCAGCAGCCTCATTGTACATTCTCACCAGTGGGTAAGAGGTTCCGGTTTTTCTGCATCCTTGGCAGTGCTTATTATCATCTGTCTTTTTGATTTCAGCTCTCCTGGCGGGTGGGAACTGGAGGCTCACTGTGGTTTGCCTGTGCATTTATTTCCCAGTGACTAATGATGTCGAGCATCTTTTCATGTGCTTACTGGCAACTCTAAGGGTAGGTTTATGTTTAACTTTTTTCTTATTCTAATTTTATTTTATTTCTTAAATTTTGATTAGTACATGTTTGCAGTACATAATGTTTACATTCCTTTTGTGGAGTCAATACATGTACATAACACATCTTAATGCCTTTTTTCATCCCCAATCCCTTCTCTCCCTTCACCTCCTACTCCTTATTAATTCCCTTTCCATTTGAGAAAGATCTATCTTCCTTCTTCCTATCTTTTATTTTACTCTTTATATAATTTGAGTTTCTGATATAAGAAAAACCATGTAATATTTAAATTTGTGTATCTGATTTACTTCACTTAACATGGTTCCAAGGTGCTTCCATTTTCCTACACATAACTCAAGTTTATCTTTCTTTATGGGAGAGTAGTACCCATTGTGTCTAAATACCACATTTTCTTTTTTTTTTTTTTTTTTTTTTT